TGGCCATTCAGCAAAAGGCGTCAATTGTTATTCAGGCAAGATGGTCACTGTAACCACACCCCAAGGATGCAGAAAGCACTAGCTCACTCAAGCTCACATTGAGTGCGAGTCCTGGGACCTAATGCAAATCACAAGGGAACACTGTTAACCCCTAACCTCTTGGTTTGATAACAGTCGTACAATCAAAGGCAAAACAGTACCAGTGTTTTTCTGTTTCTCCATTAACATTCCAGCTTTAATACAGGCTGCCTCTGTGCAAACACAAATCTGACGGGGGAAAGACAGCACCGGCATTGATGTTTCTCCCTAGAGAAACGGCTCCCATGTCCTGCTGCCCCTGGTGCGTGTGTTCAGGGCATACAGGTGTGCTCTCTGATAGACGCTTTGATGATGACTGAGAGGGTGGCATGCCCACGACCAACACCAGTGGCCCACACCGCTGGTCACGTTATGTCAAGATTCCCAGGTACTTACACATCTCCAAGCACACCTGTGTGAACTTCTCTTCAAATCAGGTTTAGCACAGTCGTAAGGGACTGGTAAGAGCACTCTGGTATTCAGTGCGCAGCAAGGCGTCTTCCGACCCCAGTGCACTTCACAGGAGCAGACCACCCTCAAGTGCAGCCAGATGCCGGGATGGGAGACCGCTCACCAGCGTTAAAGAATACCAGGCTGGGCTGGGTGGAGACCGCTCACCAGCATTACAGAAAAGCAGGCTGGGTGGAAAAAACGGGTATGAAGCACGGAACAGCAATTCATTAAAGGAGTTACCCTGAAGAACACTGTTAAAGGTTAAAATATGGACCCCTCCTAACACTTCTTGTACTTTTCCACAAGTCGGTCATGAGATCCGGGTTACAGGTCCCATTTTGTCACAGTTGCATCAATGTGCTCTTGGCCAAGACACCTAACTTCTGTGAGACCTTTGCCTTGAGACGGAAGGGTCCCTCACTCCGGAAGGCTCTGCCCAGAGCAATGACTCTCTACCTCAGTGGAAGTGATGAGCCCAAGTGAGGCTTCAGGAAGTCTTTGGTTTGGTCAAGGTGGGAGAGGCTCCAGGACAGGAGAACCAAAGGACCAAGAACAGTTGGCTTAGTGGGTTCCGAACTTGGTTTCACTATTTAGAAGCTAAGAAAACACATCTCAGGCCAGGCGTGGTGGCTCATGCCTATAATCCCAGCACTTTGGGAGGCTGAGGTGGGTGAAACACTTGAGGCCAGGAGTTCAAGACCAGCCTGGCCAATGTGGCAAAACCCTATCTATACTAAAAAAAACAAAAAGTAGCTGGGCATGGTGGTACATGCCTGTAATCTGACCTACTCGGGAGGCTGAGGCAGGAGAATCACTGGAACCCAGGAATTGGAGGGGGCAGTGAGCCGAGATCACGCTACTGCACTCCAGCCTGGGCAACAGAGCGAGACTCCATATCAAAAGAAAAACAAACAAAAAAAGAAAACAAGTTTCTTTCTTAACCGCTCTGGATCCCAGTGCCTGACTATGGAAAAAGAAACACACAGAGCAATGGGAAATGAAGTACCTACTGCGAGCAAGATGTTCAACCAGTTTGTGTGATTGAAGAGTGAATAGCTGCCAGGTCTTCAAGCTTTCTAGATGCCTTTCTGGAGAGATTACTGTATCTACAGAAAGAATGGCAGAAGCAGGCGAGCCAGAGCTGAGAGTGGGCAAACCCTCCTGGCAGTCACAGAACAGGTGCCAATTAGGGATGCAGAAACAACAGATCATAAAGACCAGAACGCTACTACCCCTTTGAATCCTGTAACAAATCCCCATTCTGATTCTTTGCGCAAACCTGCCGATTATGTGTGGCCTACACAGCAGTGTGCACAGGAACTTTCTGGGCAAGCTGGTGCTGCTCTGGTCTACGTTGTTACTGTGGGTCTCGGAGTTTGGTCAGTGCCAGGCAGCATCCTCCAGCCAGGGGTTCATGAAGGAGGTGAACTCCTCAGCTGTCTCAGTCATGAGGGAAGGCCAGTCCCAGGGCCGGGGTACCAGCATCCAATCCAAGCAGCCAGTCTTCCTGGAGCCCTGCAGAGCTCTGCTGTCCTCTTTTGTGGTGTCAGGGTTGTACTGAGAACAGCCGTGGTTCACCCCAAGTCACAAGGCGGGTACCCACAGAAGTGCGGCTAGGCCGTGGTCTGGCAGGCAGCACAGAAGGGGTATGGGAAGAGCTCGGGTTCTCCTTTTGCTTCTATTTCTGCTCCTTGACCCAACCACAACCCTCTCACTCTTGATGTGCAAAATGGGGTACTGGGGTTCCCACCGTTCCCTTGCTATGTGCTTTCTTCATGTCACACCTGCCATGAGGCTCAGGCCAGAAGGAATCCTCAAGTGTAACGTGCAGCTGGAAGTCACTGTTCCTTCCTCGGGTCAAACTGGAGGCCAAACCTAATGGACCCATTCTGTCCTTTCACTCTGGAAGGCCTGCAAGCCCTCCACACGAGTTCCTTTCCTCTCTGCAGTACAGAAGTGGAGCCGGAGAAGAACAACTCCTGGAAGGCCACCATCTCCTGACTCTGCAGAGCTTCATGTTCTTTGGGGAAAATGTATATAAAAAGCTAGTCTTATAAGATTCTGTGGTTTCAGCTCTTCTACAGCACTGGGCCATGCAGTTTAAAAAAATCTGAATGTGGCCGGGCACAGTGGCTCAAGCCTGTAATCCCAGCACTTTGGGAGGCCGAGGCGGGTGGATCACAAGGTCAAGAGATCGAGACCATCCTGGTCAACATGGTGAAACCCCGTCTCTACTAAAAATACAAACAAATTAGCTGGGCATGGTGGCACGTGCCTGTAATCCCAGCTACTCAGGAGGCTGAGGCAGGAGAATTGCCTGAACCCAGGAGGCGGAGGTTGCGGTGAGCCGAGATCGGGCCATTGCACTCCAGCCTGGGTAACAAGAGCGAAACTCCGTCTCAAAAAAAAAAAAAAAAAAAAAAAAATCTGAATGCAAACAAATCAGGAGTGTTAGCGCTGTTGCTGTAGTGTGACTGGGAGCTGGGCTCAGTGGCCACTGGAACCCTTGGGCTGTGTCATGCATCTGTGCGCTGTTCCGGTTTACTGAGGGCTAAACTGTTATGGTAACAGCATTTTTTTTGTTTGGTTGAGATAATTTATCCAAACTTGGAAGTGAACTCAAAAAGGAGAAAATGGCTGCATGCTGTTTTCCCTGCTAACACAAGTTCAGTGTTTGACAACCCCAACAATCACTTGACTTTCTAGGAGCAGTAACAATTTACCACTGACGGTAGCCCACACATTTCACAATCTGCAAAGCTAATTCTCCTTTCCATCAAGAAGAAAAGACAATCCCAAAGGGTGTAGTTTCATTGCATGCAGGATATTCACATCTTACAGCTAATCCAGCAATATTTTCTCAGCCTTCCTTTTACCCACTCACTAAGAAAATCCTAGTTTTGTGTACTTGCTTTTGAACTGGCATTGCTAACCTCCTGGATCCTGGGTTAATGACTGAAATATAACCTGACAAGAGCTGCTTACATGAAAATTATACTTCTAACATTTTGAAAATTATACATCGATGGTTTGTAAAAATGTTTTCCAAAATCAAAAGAAATATATGTTTAGCAAAATTTGAAAAATACGAACAAGCATAAAAATACAAAAATAAAAACTTACGATTCTCTTACACAGCTCCAAGCACTATCACTATTTTTTGGTGCCTGCTGGGCCAACTGTTTATCTAGATATAAACTCTTCCCTTTTTCATAAAACAGGATAAAATTATACAAGCTGCTCCCTGGTCTGCTTCTCTTCTTTCAGCAACAGCTAATCCTCTTCTGCCATATTGCTGCATTACGGCTACCCGGTGTCCCATCAGGCTTTCACCCAGTTCCTTGTTATCATAAGACATTCTGTAGTGAACATCTCTGAGGCCATCTAGAGAACCTGTGCTCTTTTCGTGAAAGTCGGATGCTCAGGAAGAACTTCCATAACAACTACAGCCTAGATGACGGCCAGTGTATTAATGCTGTTTCTGAAAGGCAAGCACAGACTGTCCCAGCTCAGTAGCGAGCTGTGACCATATTCCCTCAATCACCCACACTTCCTTCACCATTGCTTTTTCCTCTCAAGACGTTCCTGAAAAGTTTTACGTAAATAAAAATCAAAATATGGGAGTGAGATCAACAGGAACTGGATATTACAGATTTCACACAGAGGGTAAACTCAAACAGGAGTCAGAAACAGTCCCCTCGCCCCAGTCTTTCAGAGAATAGTCACTTACAGCAGAACCTACACAGGCTGAGAAGTCCCTGGCTCCCCTCCCCACTGTCCACACCAACCCCAGAGCAGCTGGCGATAGGGCCCAGTGCCCGGGTGGCTCCAACCCCCTGCTGACCTGACCCAGTGCCCGCCCTCACCCCCTACCCCGCCCACGCTTTGGTGACCCGACCCACCGTCGCCGCCCCCTCCTACAGGTGCTGACCGACCCAGCGTCCCTCCGCCTCCCACCACCCTGGTGAGCAACTCCGTGTCCCCTTCCGCCCCAGCTAACTCGGTGACCAGTGGAGGCCACAACCACGTGACATCTGCTGTCCTTGACAGCAGCTCCGACTGCACCCAAGGGGCACCGCAGGAGTCGTCTCCCAGCCTCAGGGGCACGCAGGTGAGCTGACCATACCTGCCCAGCCGGTGTTTGGGGAGCGAGGTCAGAGGCGAGGGCGCCACCCCCGCCTCCGCCTCCGCCTGTCCCCTCCCTCCGTCCGGCATCCGCGCCGCTCAAGGGCTCCAAAGTCAGAGTCGGCGTGAGGAGCCCCCCACGCCCACCGTGCACCCGCGCGGGCAGGACTCGAACGCCTCTCACCCCGGGAACCGCCCAGGCCGGGGTGCCGCACGCCCACCAGCAGGCAGGGCTGGGACCGCAGACGCTAGGAGCCACCCTGGCCCCTCACCCGGGCTCCCCCTGACCGGGGCCATCGCGCGCCCACCTGGGCTGCCCCTCACGTGGGTTCCTGGCCTCTCACCTGGGCTCCCGCGCGGTCACCTGGGCTCCCGGCACTCTTCGGCCCCTTCACCCGGGCTCCCCCTCACCCGGGCTCCCCCTCACCAGGGCTCCCCGCTCTCGCTGCCGCCCCGCCCCTGCAGGACTCCGGGTAGTCACTGATCACACCTGCCGCCGGGTCTAGACGCTCCGGCCTCGAACGCGAACTGCGCAGGCGCGCGAGCACGCGCTCCGCGCCCCAGGGGGCGTGGCTACGAGAGGCCCCGCCTCGGCGCGACCAAGGCGGGGCGGCGGGAACGGGGCCACTGCCGGGCTGAAGTAGTCAAGCGTGAGGGGCGGGGCCGGGCTAAATCGCGGCGTGAGTGAGGCGAGAGGCGGGGCCGGGCTGAACCGCGGCGGGCGCAAGGGGCGGGTCCACGGCCGGGCTGAACAGCGGCGGGTGCGAGGGGCGGGGCCGGGCTGAACCGCGGCGGGTGCGAGGGGCGGGGCCGGGCTGAACCGCGGCGGGTGCGAGGGGCGGGGCCGGGCTGAAACGCGGCGGCGCGAGGGGCGGGTCCACGGCCGGCTGAACCCCGGTAGGCGCGAGGGGCGGGGCCGGGCTGCACCAGGGCAGGCGCGAGGGGCGGGTCCATGGCCGGATAAACCACGGCGGGTGCGAGGGGCGGGTCCACGGCCGGGTTGCACCACGGCGGGTGCAAGGGGCGGGACGGGCTGCACCGGGGCGGGCGCGAGGGGCGGGGCCGGGCTGCACCGGGGCGGGCGCGAGGGGCGGGGCCGGGCTGAACCGCGGCGGGCGCGAGGGGCGGGGCCGGGCTGAACTTGGCCGGCGAGCGCCTGGGAGTCGCGCTGCAGCCCAGGGGGCGGAGGAGACCCGAAAGCCGCAGCTGCCCAGCCTTTCCCCGGAGCGGACCCGCCCGGCGGCGGCTAAGTCGCCCTCCGGGAGTGCACCGAGCCGGAGCCGGGGCCGCCCAGAGCCCCGGAGGCGCGCGCTGGGGCCGCAAGGCCGGGCGTCTCCTCCCAGCCCGGGGTCTTCGGGTCTTCACGGCGCGCACCCCCGGCCCGGCTGCGCCCACGCGCTGAGTGTCTGGCTGTGGGAGTTGCAGCCGTTCGCTAAGGTTGTTATTCGAGTTATTTATGTCTCCTCTTCTCTCTAACGTGTTTGGTTCCCTCTTTGGAACCCGCGCCCAGGGGAGAACCTACCACTTAATTGGTGCTCAGTGCACGTAGTGTTGAAAACAGATAGCAGGCGATGGATGCAGAGCATCTGTACTGGGGGTGTCCGCCCGGGCTGGCGGGGCGGGCTCGGCGCTCAGGGAGCTGAGGGTATGGTCGGCCTGGGACCCTGGCTTTTTCCCTTTCTGTGCTATGAAGATAACCGCCTTATCTCCCCCTCAGGACTGTTTTGGGGATTAAATAGGACGTTGAAATCACCAACGCTCTTGAAATAAACGTTTCCAGATGATTATAGCTCTACAGTATGTGTGGGAAAACGTTGACATTCAAGTTCAAGTTTGTTTTTCTGCTGGTTCATTTAGCTTTGTTGAAACCCTGAGTCCCTAGAATTGTCTAAGAACATGGATAAATGTGTGTGGAGGCCTCCCTGGGGGCCAGAAAACAGCCAACAGCCTTCGTGGTGTTAGGGGAACAGGAGCATAGGAGAGCCAGGGTGACATCGTTTCAAAATCAACCCCATCTTGGCCGGCGCTCTGGCTCACACCTGTTAGTACCAGCATTTTGGGAAGCCGAGGCGGGTGGATCACCTGAGGTCAGGAGTTGGACACCAGCCTGGACAACATGGTGAAACCTCGTTTCTACTAAAAATACAAAAAGAAATGAGCTGGGTGGTGGTACCTGTAGTCCCAGCTATTTAGAAGGCTGAGGCAGGAGAATCGCTTGAACCAGGAGTCGGGGGGGTTGCAGTGGGCTGAAATCACAGCACTGCATGCAAGCTTCCATGGTAAGAGTGAAACTCTGTCTCAAAAAAATAAACTCCATCTTAAAACGAGTGAACCCACCATTGCAACATGATAACTGAGACAGTGAGAGATCTGACCTAACCAACTATCCTGCTTCTAACGTCCAAGCGTCCTTGTTCATTCCTGGGTGTAGGCCTAACTGACTTTGAGAGAAACTTAGCTTAGAGTTTCTGGAAACAAATCACTTTCTTGCCTGGGGGACTAGACTGCCTTTGTAGGACTAACAAAGTAGTCAGGAGATTAGAAATTATGGTTTAGGATTCATGCAGTTGGAGGTTACAAGATTCTAACCCTCCCTAAATTGCTCCTGGGGATAACATCACTATGGTAAAACTGAAGATCAGTATTTGAGATATTTTGCAGATCTGTACTTCCTGGTTCAGCGGGGATGCCCCAGATGGATAAACTGGCTCATCTGATCTTGTGGCCCCACCCAGGAACTGACTCCGGCCAAGAGGACAGCTTTGATCCATATGATTTCTTCTCTGAACGTCAGCACTCACAGCTTACTGACCCCCTACCATCCTTAAAAACTCTGAACTCTGAGGCTGGGCACGGGTAGCTCACACCTGTGATCCCAGCACTCTGGGAGGCTGAGGCAGGCAGATTGCTTCAGGTCAGGAGTTTGAAACCAGCCTGGCCAATATGGCAAAACCCCTTCTCCACTATAATACAAAAATTAGCCAGACGTGGTGGCATGCGCCTGTAATACCAGCTACTCGGGAGGCTGAGGCAGAAGAATTGCTTGAACCCAGGAGGTGGAGGTTGCAGTAAGCTGAAATTGTGCCATTGCACTCCAGCCTGGCCCACAGAGCAAGACTCCATCTCAAAAACAACAGAGCTGGGCGTGATGGCTCATGCCTGTAATCGCAGCACTTTGGGAGTCTGATGGGGACAGATCAAGTGTTTAGGAGTTTGAGACCAGCCTGGCCGAGGTGAAACCCCATCTTTACTAAAAAGACAAAAACTAGTCGGGCATGGTGGTAGGCACCTGTATTCCCAACTACTTGGGAGGCTGAGGCAGGAGAATCACTTGAACCTAGCAGGAGGAGGTTGCAGTGAGCTGAGGCTGTGCCATTGCACTCCAGCCTGGGCAGCAGAGCAAGACTCCATCTCAAACAAACAAACAAAAAACTGAACTCCAAATTCTTGGGGACATTGATTTGATTAATAATAAAAGTCTGGTCTCCCACAAAGCCAGCTCTGTGTAAATTATTCTTTCTCTTATGCAATTCACCTGTTTTGATAAATCAGTTCTGTCTAGGCAGAAGGTAACGTGAATCCGTTTGGCAGTTACATTAGCCTGTAGTCCCAGCTACTTGGGAGGCTGAGGCAGGAGAATTTCTTGAAACCAGGAGGTGCAGGTTGCACTGAGCTTTCGTGCCACTGCGCTCCAGCTGCCATCTCAAGAAAAAAAAAACAAAAACAAAATAAGATTGTTATAGTCATGCTTGGATATAAGTACGCACTGAAATGCCAAGGATAACTTTCTTTACATCCACCAAGTGCTAGATTTTGTTACACTGTCAGGCCACCTGCACTTACATGTGGCTCAGCTTTTACATAGATACAAGATGCCTTTGCAACAAAGACAGCTCGTTCCTCCAATTGCATTCCGTGGGCGCCCCACTCTGTATTGGAGAAGCTCCCTCTCACTGCACTCTGTGACTGCCCAACTTTCCTCCCTGCCCAAGATCCGAGAACCCTGTCTTGGGGTCTGGATCAGACGTTTCTCCGGCAACATTGGGTTCCTCAGATTCACGCTCACGTTATGCTGAGGCCTGTCTTACAGAGAAGGAACTGAGGCCTAGAAAGATGGAAACATAACTTGCTTAGTCACGTGACTAGTGTTCCTCAGCTTGAATTTAAACATTCTAGAATGGCATCTTTCCTCTTGGCCATCTTTAAAGCAGAATGATAAAATAGTTTTGTTTCCTAAAAAACAGTCACAGGTATAACTGATGACCAGTACCCACGTGGGAGTGGAAGACTGAGTGAGACCCGGCCGGGCGGATTCCCAGCTTGCTCTGTCACAGCTGGGGCACTGCTGTTCACAGCCCGGGTTCTCCCCGCCCCGCCCCACCACCCATGGGTGTCTCACCCCCTTCCCCACAGATCCAGTGACACAACAAACATTCATCTTGGGTGCACGGCTTGTCTGGCAGCAGGCGAAGCCCTTTCGTAAATCGGTTCTTTCAAACATCACAGGGGGCGGAGACAGGCACCATTACCCACATGCTGTAGAAAAAACCAGCATTCAGTGACGCTGAGGCCAGGCAATGTTTGCACCTCCCCACACTGCTAAATGACGGAGCTGAGTTCTGAAACTCGATGCCGTGTTTGGAGAAGACAGTAGAAATGACTTAATGGGGGTGTCAGGACCATCTCTTTTAATTTTCCAGTCACATAAACAATCTATGCTCACTGCAAAGTTTGGTTGTTCCATGACAGAAAACACAGTTAGCAGAGTCTTTTAAAAAACATAGCAAAGGGATGGGAGGCGTTGTCTTCTGCCTGTTTCTTTCTCCTGAAAGGAGCAAGATGACTGTGTTCTCAGAGGGATGTATAACAGAGCGAGGAGGGGAAAATCCATAGTAACCGATTTTAGATCCAAAGCCTCCTTCACCAGAGAGCAGTAGTAGTTCTGTAGGTGGAAGAGAGGGACCGCTGTGCTTGCAAACAACACTTTCAAACACTGGCACCCAAGTTCAGGATCTGCTGACAGCCCGTCTGCAGCAAGCATAAGGGTTTTTAGGCTGGTGCGGTGGCTCATGCCTATAATCCCAGCACTTTGGGAGGCTGAGGAAGGTGGATCATCTGAGTTCAGGAGTTCAAGACCAGCCTGGCCAACATGATGAATCCCGATCTCTACTAAAAATACAAAAAATTAGCTGGCTGTGGTAGTGGGTGCTTGTAGTCCTAGCTACTCGGGAGGCTGAGGCAGGAGAATGGCTTGAACGCGGGAGGCGGAGGTTGCACTGAGCCGAGATCCAGCCATTGCACTCCAGCGTGGGTGACACAGCAAAACTCTCCAAAAAAAAAAAAGGTCTTTGGACTCCCGCAGATCAGGTGCTCAGCCTCACTGTGGCAGGGACTCACCCTGACCTAGCTCTAGGCAGGGTCCTGGAAGCCCTCAAGGCCCTGACACGGCCCTGGGCCCTTTCCTCCAAAGGAATCCTGCTGGGTCCCTGCAGTGACCTTATTCAGGTCCCTGCCCTTGTTATCTGACCATATGCCTC